GTGCTACGATTACCACATGAATCCTGATCATGGCGCCACAGTCGTCCTTCCTTTCAGGTCTGGGCTGAACAGCAGAGACGTGTTTTTGTTCTGCAGCTGTGTTGCAAAGGAAACGTGTCACAACCTTCCTCAGTGCTGTCAGTCCTGTTCAGCTGCACCAGCGTTTACCGTGATGCGTGTCTGTGTGTGTGCAGCGTGCAGCCCAGCAGCTGAAAGCTCAACGGCAGCTCGAGGAGGCTTTGGAGTCTCGTCTCCAGCGCATGCAGACCGACGCGCAGACGGTGACCTCGGCTTCTTCAGACGGGACCCTTTCCACCGACGTGAACGTCTCCGCTGGTACGAGACCTTCAGCACCACTTCTCTCTGTTCTGCTCCTGTGTTTAGCGACGCTGTGGATGAGCTCAGACGTGCTTCCTTCTTTGTTTCTGTGTGTTGACGTCGTGTCGCAGCAGCGTTTTGATCAGAGCCTAGAAACACTGAACACATTCACTGTCGCGTGATCAAGCTGATGAGAGAAAACTGAGTCTGTCTCCACTGTTCGACATGTAGACTCGCTGCCTGCATCTCCCGACCCCCCACCCAGTCCTCCCAGTCACAGCAGCAGCACCTCACATGGAGATAGAAGTGGCTCCACTGCTCACAGACCCACAGCAGGTGAGACGCCCACCTGTGTCCAGTCATCTCTATGTGACATGTACAGCACGTGACCCTCTCTGTCCTGAAACTGTCCATCTGGATCTGATGATAAACACCTGAACATATCAGACTGTGTGTCCTGCACCGGTGAATCCAGGTGATTCTTCTTTGCTTCGTTGTTGTTTCCTCCTCCTTCCAGAAGGAAGCAGGGAGGAGGTGCAGGTGGGGAAGATCTCTTTCAGCCCCTCTGAGGTGCTCGGACACGGCACGGCAGGAACGTTTGTCTTCAGGTAAAATATATTGATCTCAACAAACGCTGACTTTAGTCCGAGAACAGCTGAGCTGCTTGTTTTAGATCATTGGTGCAAAACACACATTTCATCTGTAGCATCTCGTAGAGCTGATTCCTGCCATCCAGGACACCCTGCACGACATCTCCTGCAGTACGTTCT